CCTGCTGCGGGCGCCAGGGCGTGGGGAGCGGGCAGGGGCGGGGGCACGTCCAGTATGAGCCGCGGGCAGGGCAGTGTGGGGGGGGGGTAGGCTCATCCCCTGGCTCCGGGACACGGGGCTGCCACTTAGTGACGGGGAAGGCTGAGACGGCACGGGAAACTCACGGTGAGCCGCAGCCTGAGCCCAGGCCCCGCTGTAGAACAGATTAAACTTTCCTGTTTGTCCCCTTTGTGTCCTGCCCTTCAAGCCCCCTCGTTTCCTTTCTAGTCAGCCAGTTTCTTCCGAATGACCCAGCTGTCAGAAATGGCCCTGCGTGTCCCTGGATTCACCATCTTTAGCGGCGCGAGGACAGGAGTCAGAGGGAAGGAAGCAGAGTCCCTCTTTTCCCAGCCCTACGAAGTGGCAGGTTATCAGACTCCCGACATCCCACATCCTCCTGCCTGCTACACGCAACTGAAACTAAGCCTAGGATGAAGGTGCCGTTTCAGAAGGCAGAGCAGAGATGTACTTTCATAGACTAGCTAAATAAGATGTGTATACGTAGAGAGCGAGCACAAGCTCTTGTGAATTGAGCTTGGGCTCTGTGTGTAGATCTGATTTAGTGAGTGTGTAAAGGTACATTTCTACCCTGCTTTGACTAGCGTGGCCAACGACCTCTCAATTACATTTCAGTCATGCAGCAGGTGCCAATGTGATCTGTCTTTAACAGAGCTGTTCGGGAAAGCAGCAACTGCGATACAAGAGAAAATTAGAAGGCGCACGGAAAAAGGGGGCAGACTTTTCAAGGCAGCGAGCCGAGAATTTGAAAGTGATGAGGTATGTGCTTCTGTCAGCCGTGTACATTTAAAGAGGAAAATAAACTACTGCCTTCAGTGGCAAAAATCTAAATGCACTTTCCAAATTTATCGTTGATTAAACTACAGGTACAACCAGGCAGTTTATTTCCAAGTAGTTCATACAGTGGCCATCTTTGCTACTGCACTAAACTCCGCACTTTAAGCTATGCAGCGCTAGATGAAGCATGTAAAGTGGCATGGCCATATTACACACAGCTACTTTGGATTACAGCTCACTGTGGTGCATCAGGTCACAGGAATGTGAATGAGTCTCTTCCCCCCCAGTTTGATTCCTGTCCAGAAATACTTTGAGGAACATAAGTGTGAATAAAAATAGCTCAGCAGTGAATGGTCATCTTAGCCTCAAGTGGCTGTCTGAGCAAGCAGGGGGGTTCAGTTACTCTTACCAGCAAGTGCTCCTTAAGGAGAGAGCTGCAAAACACAATGACTGTAAGAAATTGATCTCTCTCCCATCAGGTCTGGTTTATGTGCATACTTGCTTCATGCCTTCCCATTTTTTGATGTACACGTAGTGTTTTGTCCCCCCTGTCGATTATGGAATTTTATTGTGTGTGACAATTGTACTGAGCACTTAAACATCCCTCAGAAAGGTTCGTGGCTTTGCTCTAGGCTTAATAGAACCTCTTCAAGGAATAGCATGTGTGACTGACTTCTACTGGAATGACCCCAATTCTCACTCTTGTTCCTAGTCTAAAAGTGAGACCTCAGACCTCCCAGAAGAAATTCCTGGTGAAGACAAGCAGATGATGTCCCCTGAGAAAGCAGGCCCTAGCCAGAAAATGAACCTGAATGCCTCTGACTCGCCTCCAGCAGCTGCTGCTGCTTGGGGCTCCCCTACTCCTGAAACTCAGCCACAAAGGAAGGAAAGGCCTGCAAGCCCTGGCCCTGCTCCCACCCAGGTGGCAGATGCAGTTAAAGCAATAAAGTACTGCATGGAAGAGCTCAGCATGGACCTGTTGACTGTCACACAAGCTTTTTTGAAAAACAGTGGGGAAGTGGAAGCCACCATGTGCTTTTTGAAGACCAGCCAGCGCTTGGATGGGCATCCCATATGGAGCAGAGAAGATGATTTAGAGTTGCAAAAAGATGATGAAAATGTCAGAAGCAAACTAATAGCGAAGTTTGGAGCTGAGAATGTAGCTAGACGGGTTGCATTCAGGAGGACTTAGATGACAAGTTGTGGATGTGATTCAAGGAGTTGGGGCTGTTCCAGGAGAGGAGGGAAAGATTTACCTGAGCTTCACAGAAGGAAGAGACTTAAAGATCTGTAGGAGCAGCCTTTGGCAACTGCAGAGAATAATTGCCTAAGATTTCATGCTATGTAGGAAAAAGTCTTGCATTGTTCAAAATGACAAGGTCTCTTTGTAAAACTTTTTGTCTTTCTGATCCTTTTTATAGGCTTCCACTTGTATACAAGGCTTAGTTTTGCATTAGGTTTGTGATGAGTACAGTGATGGGTAAGGCTGAAAAATAAACTGGAGAGATCCTCCATCTGTCCAGAGCCAAGTGTTGGGCACCAGAAAATCTGCCCTCAGGTGCCTCGTGTTCCTCATCCACCAGCAAGGGGAGGAACTTGCCTGTACTACTGCATGGAGAGAGCATCAGGAGGAAGACAGTAGAGCCTGCTCCTGCATTTTAGCTTTCTCACTTGCACTGCTGGACCTGGAAAAAGTTCCTTCTCTGTAAGAGCAGAAATGGCACAATTCTTGTACCTGGAAAGGTCCTTTGTGCTCGCTCCAGGCCAAAGTAAACAGGGTCTTGAGACTGATGCAGGACAAAGCAAGAGGCACGTGGATCCTCCTACAGTGCTTCCTCTTCAGCTGTGTTGTCTTACATGTGCACGTGCCAAAGTCTCACCAATATGTTCCATCCAGCCCCTGTGAATCCTTCCAGTAAACAGCAAGAGGGTCCAGCTGTCTAATAACAGGGTCTAAGCTCATCCTAGCCAATCTTGTGTGGTTTCTTTCACCTTTGGTAGCTACCAGGCCACAGGCAGCAGGTATTTCTGCAGTTACAAAGTGTGCGCTTTCTTGACAGAGGATAACATAATGTGTGATTGTAAGTTTTTCTCGCTGCTAGTGCAGGGGTGCTGCTGGGAAGGATTTGTTTGTTTCAAACATCAAATTACCAGGTGTCAAAATCATGTTCTGATTAGGATCTTAATGTAAATATTTGGACAATCACTCTCTTGGGTTTGTAGTTATTTACAGCACTTAAACTGGGATTAAATCATCTTTTGTTGGAATGAAAACTGGTTTCTTGCTACCACCATTTTAATTTTATTAATATTTTATATGTAAGCGGTCTCAGCCTAGCTTACCAGTTTTGTTGGTTTTTTGTTTTGGGGTTTTTGTTGGGGGGGGGGGGGGGGGGTGTAAGGTTACTTTTTTTTTTTTAATTTGGTAACGGGAAGCAGAGAGAGGTTCACTCTGTCAGGCTTTTGACATGCATGTGACTAATAAAATGCCAGTGACTGGTGTTCAGCTCTACAGAGTGCTTAAAAACCCGTCTCTTAGTAAAAAGCAAGCGAATGATGACGCACATGCTAAATTTACACTCAAACTGGTTCCTCAAGATTTTTGAGCAAGAATAGACAAGTGCTTAACTGGAGGCCCCATGGTCTTAAAGTAAATAAGGTAGAATGATTAAAAAGAGTTAGACCTTTTCTGGGAATAGTAGATTGTGTACCAGATAGGTTTACATTTCAGAGCTATGAAGGATCAGCATTAAGAAAATAAGATCTGTCACGTGCTGCAGGTGAGAACTCTGCTCCCTTCAGCTTAGTATCGCATATCTAGTGAAATGCATTATGGCATTACACAGTCAATGTGAAGGTCTCACAAGAGAACATACGCGCTCTGGAATTAAGAATGAGGATTGGCAAGAAGCCAGGCAGGAGGACAGCAAAGGCACTGCAATGTACTTTTCTTTCTGCCTTGTCAGTTTGAATGTCTTACTTGCATGTTCTTGTGGGCTATGAATCAACTCTACGATTCAAACTATTTAGTCTTTGTACAGTACATTTCACCTTTTATAGTAGGTACAAAACTTCTTCCTGATGCTGCCTTGAAGGGATGTTTTTCACCCAATCCTGCCTATAACCCTTTGCCTTCCACCTGTTCAAAACCTGATCCCAAAGAGGCACTGCTTAAAACCAGCAGCTTGCCACTCTGGGACTTCTGAGCATGCACTCTGGTCTCCTTGCATTCCCTAGGGACCCTGAATACAAATGTCTAATTTGAGCTCTTTAAGAAACAACCAACGGACTACTAAAACAGGTGGGGATCGGTGGTCCTGGTTTTTCCCCGACTCGGGAGATATTTCAATGCCCTGAGGAGTTGTGGGATTTCAGAAAGCAGCAGCCCAAAACCTCAATATATGGCACCTTGGGCCAGTTTATTGGATGACTTTCTAAAGACACCCAGAAGGTCCTGTCCAACAAAGCAGCCCTGTACTGGAGAAGGCAGAATAAGCTTGTCCAGAGCTTGCACCACCCAATGGACTCCTACCTACTGCATAAACATCATTTGCAAGGTTTAGTGTAAAGGACCTGCACATGCTCAGAAATAAGCTGGATGCACTGATGCAAGAGGGCCCGTCAGCGGGACCTCACTGGGACTCTTCCCTTTTAATTGAAGTAACAAGTGCCTGCCCCAGGCTCGTGTAGGAAACAATCAGCTGGATTCACAAAGGGAGGTAAAGCACTCTGCTACCCACAGCTGGGGGTGAGGTGCAGACCAGCATGTACAAGGAGATTTTGAGGTCTGAGAATGGGTGTTGTAACAGCCAGCATGCCAAATGGGGAGCCCTCCCAGCCAGCCAACAGAAACAGTGCTGCCCCTCTTGAGGATCTAAGCATAAGAGATGATCAAGTTTCTCCATGAATCTAGCTCCTGACCAGACAATACCATTGGGTCAGTATTATCCACATAATACTGATGGTGACATGGAGGCTCAGGCCTCAGGTATAGTCAGTGCTGGGGCAAGGAGCAGACCCCAGGATTTCCCAGTTCACTGTTCTGTTCTGACACTAGTGCAGGAAGGTTAAACAGGCTTAAACTTAAAGTTGAAACTTTAAAAACTCCACAAGCAGCATTCAGACAGTCCTGGTGAGGAATATAGTATATTACCCATGAGCAGACAGAGGTAGTTAGGTATACATCTCTTACTTAATCTATAAGGTCAGAACCAGAAGCAGTATGCGCGCCTGGGAGCAGTGCTGCACCCTGCTACCCAGTTCTGCCCAGCAGCATGTTAACCTGTGCAAGTGCCCACCACACACGTGCATTGCTTCCAGCTGCAGAGCTAGCATATATAGTATTAGCTCAGCAGCACTGCCTCCCGCAGTCGAGGCACACCCTGGGAAATGCATGTTGCTCTCCACACCCAGTGATTTTCAGGTGGTTTTAGCCTTGGTAAAAGAGGGAGGATTGGTTGTCTTAGTTCTTGGTTATATACCACGGGGACAGGGTGGCTGTGCAGGTTTCACGGTTACCAAAACAGCTCTGGAAAGCCCACCCTTGGCTGAGAGAAGGTCAGTTTACTTTCAGGTTGTCTACATTCACCCAGGCTGGTAGGCCTTCCAGAGTGCTTCAGTTTCTCTCCAGCCTTGCTTAGCTTGTGTGGCTGTTTCCTCTGCTTCTTTTGCCATGTTCCTGCTCACTCTCATGGCTCAGTAAGAATGTTCAGGTTTCAATACCGCTACATCCACGCCCATCACTCCGAGCTTTCTCACCAGGAGAAGGCAAGGTGAATTAGCAAAGGGACTAACCACAATAGACAGACAGATAGATAGATAGATAAATATATCTACCCTGCCTTCTTCACACTAACAAAGCTAGCTGTGTGCCTCACAATTAAGACAGACAAGCTTAAGCCTCACAGGAAAAACCACCCAGCAACATGAAAGAGGTCAGATCTAGACTGGACAGACTTCTTTTTTGTCTGTGGGTTCCGGTGGAATGTGCAGCGTCCACACTGGCTCCAGGTGCTTCCAGGCCTGTATTGCCACCATTCCCAGGGCCTCTGACCTTCATGTACAGGAACTTGATTGACAGCATCAGTAACTCAGCAAAAGGCAAAGGTGACAAGGAGTTGCAAAGTTACTGTCAAGGAACACCCTGAAGTGCTATAATAAAATACTACCTATCCATAAGCTAGCAGGGTTATGAGGCTTACCAGTGACTGCACCTACGCAGTGATTATAGTCATATGTGTCTGATCAGAACATTTATAATTGTGTGCGCAAGGGAGATTCTAGCCATCTCATGCAGATCAGCTCACCCTAGAAAAGTCCCTCTCTCCTGCCTCTTCTCAACCACCCCCTGCCCTGGCTACGTCTCTCGTTACATCTATGGCGGAGCTGGCTACCCTGGACTGCTACAGGTCTGTGGATAACCAGTTTGGTGCGGACAGATGGATTCTGGGATCCATAGCCAATGTCTACAACTAGGAAGCATACCCATAAGCACCACCAACCTTAGGGCAGGAGACAGCAGGGCTGCTAAGTGCTCACATCCGCAACACACGTGGCAAGAGTAGAGTAGCAGCCTGCAAACCCACATGTTATTTTGTGGGTTAATGACTTGTAACGTGGCTTGAAATTGCCTGTGGTAATTGTCTCCTATGCTTGAGGGGTGCCGGGACCGCTAATGTGCACAGGACACCTTGATTCTGAACTTGCAGGCCGTGGGGGGTGGAGTGCTGCTTTTGCCTCCTGAATTTTGTAGCCATTTAACATGACTGTGCTTGTTAATTGGGGGTCAAGGGCTGTGCCATTCCAGATGATTTGTGCTGCACTGGCAGGGCCATGGTCTCTCCTCTTAGTATTACTGGCCAGGCAGCAGCAAGAGGCTGAACAAAGAACAGCATTGTTCATTCAAGAGTTCATTACACTCTTGAATGAACAATAACTTAACAAGCATGCAAGTCAGACCTGCGGGGTGGCAGCAATAAATAAGTATAGAACAATGTGCACACCACCCAGTGTGCCACGTACACTGCCATGCACTCTACAGGGCAGCTGAAAGGCAAAAGGGGAATGCAGCAGGCAGCTGCCTGTATTCTGCCTTGTCCTCTTTTCTCCTCCCACCATGTGCTCCCATGGTGAGGTGTGCTACAGGCGTGCAGAGAGAGGAGACTACATGGCCTGTTGTTCTCTTCACAGTTCCCATCCTAGAGGACAGTGGCCCATCCAGCTCCCATGTTTCTGGTAGCACACAGGACACACTGGAGAAGCAGCAACTTGCTATGCAAGCCCCTGCTGCCTCACTACAAATGCAGAGACTTGCTGTAAAATGAAGGGAGCATGTGGTACTGTAGCAGAAAGCCTGCTTTTCCTCTTGCTTGCATTTGCTCTCCCCTCTTTGGATACATTTCTCTTTTTCTACCTTTTCTTCCTTCCTCTCTCTTTCACTTTAAGATAAGGAATTGTGTTTTAACATTTGTATGCGTGCATTTTGTATCTCCCCTTGTAGTTTGGTATTTTTATCTATTTGTGTGCCATGGCATTTGTAGCTTATATTTTATACTCCTCACCTTTCAACTAAATGTGTTCAGTTTCATAAGTAAGTTATACATGTAACAATGTTAACAAGGGCAGGAATCGAACTGCCCTTCCCTGTATCGGGCTGGCCCCTGAAAGAAGCAAGTGAATCAGTGATTGAATGTGTAACACGGTAGCAGACAGTAATTAACACGTGGGAAACTGCAGATCAACCAAGGGAAGAACTCAATAGAAGACAATGTAACAACCGGGAAATCTCTAAACCTCACTGATCAAGGGCTAGAAGCCCTGGCCTGAGTTAATCAACGCTGGGGACCAACTTTTGGGCTGAATATCTCCAAATCGACCACTCCCAAAGCCCTATTCACAATTATCAACGGACTCCCAAACCTGCACATACACGCAGACAACCCCTGGGGCTGACAGATGCCATCCAGTAGCCACCGGGGGGGGGGAAGTCCCACGAGGGTCAATGACCCCTGGATTGGGCAAATCTGAAAACTGGGGAGTCACCAAAGTCTGTAAAGGACAGATAAAAAGCAGTGAAAAGTGACCCTCAGTGGCGCCCTCTTGATCTCCAACTTGACCAGCACCCGACCTGTCCAGCCAGAAGGACCAGCCAGCGACCCCCTTCTGGAAGATGATACCACGCTAAAATAAGCCTCAACGACAGACTCCAGCGCCTGTAGGATAGGTATACCTGACTCTTGTAGCTTGCTACTCTGTGTGTGTGTGTGTGGGGGGGTGTGTGGGTGGAAGGACCAGCCCCAAGGTTTATGATTTAACTCATTACAGTGTTTCAATCTGCCTAATAAACCAGAATTTTAAGGATCCCGAGTTGGACATTTGTAGCCAACAGTACATAACAACATTGTGCAAAGGGACCTCCCCTGCACCAGCACCAGAGCTGCCCCTGCCTCGCTGTCTGCCAATGCCTGCATCAAGGTGTCATTCACCAGCAATTCGGTTGTGAAAGTTTGTCTGTCTATGAAAGAGAAGCAGAAACGTCCAGAGAAACTGAGACAAGATCCAGAAACAGGAGAGCCAAGAATAGGATGGGAACAGGTCTCAGCATTGTTGGGCTATCTGCTGACTGGGAAGGGGCTTGGAACCAAGAGCCAGACCCTGTCTCAAGTTGCTCCTTTCCTGCTATGCTCTGCTGACAAAACTGTGAGTGTTCTTTGTTAGTAAGTAGGATTAGGTCAAGGAAACACCTATGTCCCCCATCAGTTTTCCACCTAATGGAATAACCTGCAAGACCCTGCACTCACTGCCCACCTGAGCCATCCCTCCTCATTCCGGATGAGGGCAGCACAGATTTCACGTGCACACACATCAGACCCTCAGGAAAATTACTGCTCCTTAACACAAGGGAAAAAAATCAGTCCTACACCTTTACTCTGCTCTCAGCTGAGATAAATAAAGTGAGTTCAACCCAATCACTTTTCTCTGTGCCAAAGCACTGCTGTCTCACCAACCTGAGTGATCTCTATTACCAAAAGCACCTCTGTTCTCCCCATCTGATCATCATTCTCTTCACCAAAGCACTGCAACCAGAGAGGGAGGTATAAGACTTAAATGAGTGCCCCTGGAAGCTGGCAGTCGAAGACCAAGTCTCACATGTCATTAAGCTGCTGCACATGGACTGGGTTCTGCAGTTTGGACTCAGAATCAGACATTCCAGCAGCACACGTACAGGGATATGTCTATGATCCTCTGATCACACCATGAAGGTAACAAGTACTTCTACCCTTCCCAGCACCACACAAAAGATGGCCTCTTGGTCTCTCTCATTTCTCTATCACTAAACATTTTTGGAGGATTAGTACCAGCCTCACAGCACTTAGAAACCTCTCTCATGGACCAGGACTCCAAGGTGCTTAAGGTTGAAGGGAAAAAAAGGGTCCCTACCCAGACAGCTTCCGATTTAAATGCAAAAGAAGAGGAACCAGATGGGGCACAAGTGTGAGAGCAGAAGGAACAATGAGATGACGCTGGTCAGCATGATGGGCAGAGGGCTGGTATCTCGGCCTGCTGCTGTGCTGCAGATGCATTGCTGGTCTGTCACTTTGAGTGAGGATCAGGGACTAACCAGAGGACTTTGCTAAAATCTCAAGTCACCATAATATGCATGTGTGAGTGCGTGTGCATGTATATTGTTATCTTCTCATGGCTGGACTTTAGCCAACATGCAGAATGGCTGTCATCTCCAGGCCCTGGCTCCCAGGAGGGGAGAGATACATTTAATACACGCCTGCTGCCTATAACCTGTGGGCTCGTCACACCCTCTCCTCCTTTTAAAATGCAGCACACACACAGCCACCAGGGCCCCTGCTATAAATACCATGTCCGTTTTCAGTTCAACCTCAATCCCTTCATCTGCCTTTTGCAACACACGCAAGTTCTCCTCCTTCCAGCTAAACATGCTTCTACTTCCGTCTTACAGCTTTACCTTCAACTCCTGCTCTTAAGGAAGAAGGAACTCGGAGCAAAAGCATCTCCATTGGAAACTCCTCTGTCTAGACACTCCTGATGCAACAGCACTGTGTCATCCAACCACACTGGCCTTCCTATCAACGTAACAATCTTAATGATGTTTTTGGTTTTCTAGTTTTTTCTATGGATTCATGCTTAAAGCCCTCACTAAAAACTTCCCAGAATGAAGGTAGTAACACAGCAGCTACATGCTCAAATTTTCTGCAGTCATATTACCAGTGAAGATCCTACCTCATGGATCCAGCAGGCGGGCTTCATGTTTCCTCCTTCCCTGGTGCTGTGTGAGGCGCTGCCTTCAACCAGTACAGACAGATGGATTTTCTCAGGGCTAGACATGATATGGGATGGGGGACAAAGGGAAACCACATGCACCTACCTGAGTGAAACTACACTTCTGAACTGGCTCTGGTATGGAGCACCCACCTCCAAACACATTGGGGAACAAAGTCACTCATGTCCCTGCCACGTTTCTGACTTGCTGGACTGTGGTGATCACGTTAGTCAGTAAAATGAAACCTGATGTCCCACAGAGCTGAACATGCCCTGGCACATGAATCAGCTGAACAGGAAAGTCTCTTGCTCTGCTGTTTCCTTCCTCCCCCACTCCCAGAAGCACTGGCATCCATCATTCCCCTCCGTCTGTGCCCAGCAGCACTCCTCTGGCTCCACACAGCTTTTCCCATAGCAGATAAGCCATCCCCACCCCAACTATCCCAGTTCTGCTGTGCCTGTACCGTAGGCAAGTCTGGGTTGCAACAGAAGCCTTTCCTGTTCTGATATCTGTACCACACTTAGTGCTACGTGACCTGGGCACCTTCTGAACATCCTCCTGCATGTATTCACCTTCTCTGCCTTCACCTTGTATTAACACACCTCAGGCATTTCACTTTGAATAAACCTTATCTCACAGGGGCTGCTTCCTCAGACTTGAACACTGTCTTTGAGATCTCTTGGGGGGGAAAATGACTTATTTTGGAAAGTTAGAAGACTGGGGATTAATCATTGGGACAAAATTGGTTCACATATCCCAGGAATTAACCACAATATTCCAACCCAGAGAGAAATTAATTCTTTTTTATTAGTTCAGCCAGGGCTGTTCTGTTGCTTTTCCAGTACAACACCGGGGGGGAAGTGAACACAGATCCTTTGCAACACTACCACCAATGCTGATCACCCAGGTACAGAGCACGGATCAGAAAAAGAAAAGATCAGCAAAAAGCTCCACAACCTCAGAACATCCCAGCCACACAGGTGCCCTAATAAGAGATATCACCCACAAGAATTCTTGCCTGCTGCAAAACTTGCCTCAAATCCAGTTTCTCTCTCCTTTGGCATTAAGGTAACAGAGGCTAGTAGATGCTCACTGTGAGTGACATTCGCTCATGCCTCCCAGTCTCTAGGAATACAGCTCCTGCCTGCAGTTCTGTTGCTGTTTAATGTTGGCTTTGTTGGGATCCTACTTTGCCATCTGGTCCTGCTCCTTTGGAGTTCTGTCCACCCTAATCTGCACTTTTTCGGAGCTCTGTCCCACCCAAACCAAAGACTGTCAGGAGAACAAGGACCTGTGTTACTCCACAGGGCTGGGCTGCCCAGGGAACTGCAGTCACTGGTCTAGACTGGGTCATGTGGAAAGTGAACAGTGGGGAAGGAGATCAACAGTGGGGAAGGAGATCAGCAATGGGCACAGGGCCTGCCACTCTGTTCTTTCCCAGGGTCGTTTGCTACCCCCTCCACATGCATGTACACATGCACCACTCACCCACCCTCCCACTCGGTCCTGTTGCAGAGCTGTGCATTCTGTGGCTCTCAGCTGGCCAGAGCCGGGGGTGACTTTTCTGTCCTCAGCTCCTGTTTCTGCCTGGTAGGGGGATGCTGAGAAAGCAAGAGGTCCAGTGTCATGTCCGTCTGCTCCTCCTCTGATGCCAGCAATCGATAGCCTAGCAGCTCCATGGCATCCTTGCACACCTGTTGCAGCTTTTGTATTTTGTGGAAGGGCAGGGACTTCCTCCAAGCCTGAGAGACATTCACTGCATTTCTGGAGCTGATGTCAAAGGCCCCTGCCCCCAGCCCTTTCCCATGGGTGACGTTGTACACCCACCTCTGCAGTTTTGGCAGGAAGCCGAGTTCTGCAAACTTGTAGAGCTCTGCAGTCTTTTCCAGGGGATCTTTGACAATATCTTCATAGCGCACCAGCATATAGCGGCCCTGGAGAGAGCTGGGGAGAGCCTGGCTGCCTTCTGTATAAATCTGGATGTGGCTTTTGCAGATTTCCTGCATCACATTATAAGGGCCCATTTCTCCCTGGTTGTTCTCGGGCCCTACCACAATGTCACTGTCACGTACCAGATCAGGCGCAACCTTCTCGCGGGATAGAAATACAGCCCGAGGGTCACGGACCAGGTGGATGATTCTGATATTCAGTGAGGGGTCACTGAGAAGTGGATAGAGAACCTTCAGGTCAAAGAACCGGACCTCCTTGAGGACAACATGGCTATAAAGCCTGCAAGCCTGCTCCACCGTGCTGAATGGGTATTTGCTACAGACAGTCCTGCAGTGAGACTTGGCAATTATGTCACTGCGCTGGAAGACATCACATGCAGGTGGGGAGCACAGGGCCCGGCTAGACTCCCACTGAAATAAATCAGACTTTTCTCTCCCCCTAGACATGTATGCATCAAACACAGACATGTCACACTGGAAAACAGACCTGACTAGGTCACGCACTGCCATGTGTAAGCTGTGGGCAGTATTCTGATGCATTGTAGTCCACACATGCCAGGCAGGCTCCATCAGATAGAAGACATTAGGATGCTGGCTGAAGAGCTGGCCAGTGAAGGAAGACCCTGATCGCCAGGAGGAGAGGATCAGGATGTGCACCTGGGACTGCTTCTCTTGCTGCAGGGAACTGCTTCTTTGAGGCACAAGGAGGAAGAAGTGGACAAGAGCCACAGCTTGAACTGCCACAATCACCCCGACCACCACCTTGCTAAATGTCAGCATGGTGATTGGGAGCCTAAGGAGACAGAGAGAGAGAGAGAGAGAAAATTCATCCTCGTTACTTGGTCAGCAAATACACAGAGAACTCATGAATCCGGAGCAGCACAGGCTGGAGACAGAAAACAGCATCACTTATGCTCTGGGTACAGAGAAGTCTGTGTGGCCATTAGTGACTTTCGGATGGCAAATTCAAACTGGTGAACACAAATAAAAGGATACAGGGTAGAAACCTCAGTAATGACGCAGAAATAGTTTATTAGCCATTACAATGTATCTGCAACTTTACCGCATTTTTTGAGATACCCAGAACTATTTTTATGCCCAGGCAGCTTGGAGAACATAACATGCATTATTTCTAATAGCGAATGCAAGCTAGAAAGCCAATCAATTTCAACCCAATTAGTTTACTGATGAATATAAAAGTCAAAAATCAATCCACAATAAAGTATGTTACCAGTCCTTGGTCTGTTGTGACACTGCAACAATACAAAGGAACAAGTTCAATGCAAGACTTCACACAATCCTGCAACATCTAAGTCTAGAGGGTTAGAAACTTCTCATGCACTTACCCCAAAAGCAGCAAAAAGACCACAATAGCTCACACACAAACCATCCAGGCCTGAGAAAAGAAAGGAAATACATCCTAAGCCATTTTTAAACATAGCTGATAGGGTCAGTTGTATAGGGTTTAGCTAGCACTTCAATGCAAGTGGCTGGGCTGGTTTAGTCAGGGATGCTCCTGCCTTGAGCAAGGGGCTGGACTACATGATCTTATGAGGTCTGTTCCAGCCCCACTTTCCTCCGAGCCTATGATCCTATAAGTGACCATGTATCGCAGGAGCTCGGTACACAAAACCTAGGATAAGGCTTGTGTACTAAAATGCTACACGAGAGGAATGCTAAACCTCACATCAAAGATGGGAACACCCTGACCCAAGGACCACTTCTTCTGAGTCTCAGACTGGCACTAGAAATGTTCTCTCAGAAAACAAGAGAACAGTTTCGTACAGACCTGATTGCTAGGAAATGATCACAAATATTATTAAAAAGTTGCTCTTTATGTTTTGTAAAAATCCTAACCTTGAAAGAATGTGAGGAAGTGCTTTTTAAGGGGCAAAGAGGAATATCAGGATGTTACCAAAACCACAAGCTGTTATCATCTTTCAAGTGAACTTGCTTCTACTCTCCTTTACAGTAAAAACCTCAAGCTTACACTTACTCAGAAAGTTCTAAATATTTTCTTATTGAAAGCATTTTCTTCTATAGGCGTTCTAGGACTTTCAACCTTTAAGAAAGATGGTGATGACAACAAAACATTCTACAGAAGATGCTCGTTGTTTCTATCTACATTATTCTTCCTTTCAATGGCACACAGCTTGGTTACTCATTAAATGTTTCAGATGACAAGCCTCTGTTGAGATTTATCATTGCAAATGTTTTGCAACTTTTTACAACACTTTACATAAGTTCCTGATCCCATTGTTATGTGAATAGTAAGATGATGCATGTACAATACAGCAAAAGGTCAAGAAAGCACAGGATGTTTATATTCACTGGGGAAAGAATGAGTTACCTGGCGATACTTAAGCAGTTTCCTCTCCAACAGCTGTTAAGAAAAAAAAGGACAATTACTTCCTTAAATACTTAATACTTAAGTTGCAAGACTCTTTGGGAATGACTGTAGTTACATTTTAAAAGACTGCCTCAGAGCCGGAAGACTTATGGAGAGAAAAAACCAATAGGGGTGGAGTGATGTTCTGGCTATGATGCAACTTGAAGGGAGTACAGTTTGCACCCAAAAGCTTGTCTAATCTCCCCCCACAACTACACAGCTGGTCCAGCGAGGGATCACCAGATAAGAAATAAGAATTTTAATTCCAGCTGAACAAGGATAAATTTAACAGAAGAATTCTGAAAAATGAGGTAAAGAAATGAAAATTTATAAATTTTGGGTGGCCAAAATTTGGAACGGGCTCCCAAGGGAGGAGGTGCGCTCCTCTGCCTTGGGGGTCTTTAAGAGAAGGCCGGGCAGGCCCCTGGCTGGGGTCGTCTGACCCGGCGCTCTTTGCTGCCCAGGCGGGGGGGTCGGGCTCGGTGCTCTGTCCAGGTCCCTGCCGACCCCAGGATCTGAATCCGTGAACAAGTTACCACGCCTGAAGGCGAATGCACTTCATTGCAAGCTCTTCTGATCCTATCCCAGCCGTGCAGGTGGCCCAACAAAAGATGTCACCCACAAAATCCTTGCCTCACACACTAAAGATATCCTGGGAATTTCCTGCTATAACTGAGGGAGTTAGACATCTGCTCCAATCCATGGAATACACTATGCACGTGCATTCGGTGCTAGCCCTCTCCCATTCCTCAAGCGACTGTTTTCGTTTTCACACGGAGTTAACACAAGCCATGGTTTCGCGCTCAACCCCCGCGGGGCCTGTGGGCCCGATCCAGCCCCTGGCACCAGGTTATCCACTGCGGGCTTTCCACAGGTCCTAGCATTTGTGGGGAGCAGTGCAGCGGTGTCACTGGACGTGCGGAAAGCCCCGCGGGCCGCGGCGTGCTGGACGGTGTGTGGTGCGGCGCGGCATGGCACACAGGGGCGGTGTGGGGCCTGATCCTGACCAGCGGGGGGGCAGGCGGAGCCCACGGCGCCAAAAGACGGAGCACTCTTTAACCGAGGCCACACCTGACTCTTGGCCAGACCTGGACACGTTGGGCCTGAACGATCCTCTCGGCCTCTCACAGCTGTATGGCGGGGCCAACAGGAGACACCCCAAACACCTCTGCTTCAACAGACTAGAAATGCACAAGCCAAACGTGTGACAAAGACCACGCCGTGACAGCAAGGAGCCCGAGGACACAGCAAGAGGGGGCACTGGGGGGCGGCAGCCATCTTGGGTGAGGGCAGCCTGCACACAGGGGCGCTCGTCGGCTTCAGCCCAGGGCGGTGCTGGGGCACGGTGGCCATCTTGAACGAGGGAACCGCCAGCCCCGCACCGGGGGCCGGGGGCGAGGGCAGGGCGCCCGTGTCCCACCAGCTGTGGCGGAGCCGCACCAGGGGCCACTGACTTGGCCCAGAGAAGCGGGGGGTTCCCTTCAGGCCTGAGGGCAGCACAGCTGGCGCCACGGCTCCTGTCCGGGGGCCTAACCGTATCCCCGCTAACACGGGGATCTGACATTGTCCAGGCAACCTCCCCCATTTTACAGGTGCAGACACTGAGGCAAGGCCGGTGAAGCGGCTTCCTTAGCCCTTCGCGCGCTGGTTCGGCACCGTGGCCACCTGAACCCCCACCCGAAGCTCGAGCCTCAGGGACCCACTTACCATACAAGCTTCATAGGCACGGACAGAAAGCCACCAAATTCCCCAGTTTTCAAGAGACTGCCCTGGAAATTTGGAAACATAAGAGGTCTCAGCAGCTCCCTCAGTCCTACCCTGCAAATTCGCCCTGGCCGGACAGCATCTGCAGCACCGCAGACACCAGCCTCCCCACGAGCCGTGCCCAGATCGCACCACCTGTCCAGGAGATGCAGGGAGGGACCGAGCCTCCCACAGGCGTTGCTGGATGAGTCACTGTGCCCCAGGGCTGTGGGCAGGAAGTGCAGCTGAGCAGCACAAAATCCCCTCTGGCCGCTGCCCACCAGGTCCATGACGGGCAGGGGAAGAAACGTTGTGGGTTGCACAACACCTTCCCAGCTCGGAGCAACAGCCGTTCAGGAGCAGGTCACTTCTGCAGGGGCCTGCTTGACCGTCTTGCCCCTTCTCCCAGCCCTTCCTTGGATCCTCAGGGACAGGCCCTAGTACACTGGCCCCTTGCCCAGGTGGCCATTGCCTCACTTGTGGTTCCCCTCCCCGGTTTGATCTGGGAAAGAGGAAGCATCAGCTCCCGCTCCCCTGAAATGGTTCAGGCACAGCGGACCCAGCTGCTGCAAGGCCGCCTCAGCCAGACACGCTGCAGGCAGGTCCCTCCTCAGGCTGGGCCTGGGTGACGAGCTGGCACAGACGCCCTGTGCTGAGCCGCAGCTCCCGGCTCCTGGCAGGCAGCACCACCACAGCAAAGGCCACTACCGAGCTCAGCCCGTGGACGCCTCCATTGGGCACGAGCCACGAGAGGTCTGTGACCCGTGCAGACATTCCCTCTGCATTCAGCACGCCGAGATGGGAGGGAGCTTGCACGAGGGAAAGCCAAAACGCAAATGTCTCCCAGACTACTCGGTGTTTCCCAAGAGAAAACTGTCTCCCGGGATGCCAGCCTGCGTGTCTCAGAGGCAACAGTCTCCAAGCAGGCATGTCACAGATACGAAACCTCTGCGAAAAAACTAAGTCCCATGGGAAGGAGCGCGATGCTGAATCTACAAGCCAAGGCAATAGCAGAGGCCCTAAAAAAGAGAGGAGCATGGTCTGTGGACTCTACCCCAGGAGCCGCCCCAGAGGCGTGGGCGCTGACTCTGTGAGGCTGTAGTCAAGGGTGGGCACTATGGGCATGTTTACCAGCCAAGTTTACGAGTCTCCTTTTCCAGCAATAAAACCAGGATGGCAAACAATAAAAAACAGGAACAGCAAGAAGTGCAAACTTACAGAGATGTCTAACCAAGGTCTCGAAAGCAACCTAGCACCCAGGGCATGCTGGACTGTGTGCCAGGCCCAAGCCTGCCCTCCCATCACACGGCTTGGGAGGGCTGATCATGGACTCCCTGCAGCTCCTACCCTTCAAGCTGTTGACCAGCCTGGTCTTGTCCTTCTCTAGCATCTTTCCAGTCCCATCCCACATGCTAGTGCACAGCCCTTCATTGACCGGGGCAGGGACTGACACACACACACCCTCCTCCATCCAGCCCTGACCATGCTGGGGGCCCTCCCACACTACCCCCCGCGTCCAGGAGCCCCGTGCCTGCTGGTGCCACACTGGGGACTGCCCAGGGTCACTGCCACACAGCTGGTGCTTTCCTAGCAAGCTCCCACTTGAGCACAGACCACAGCCCATTCTGCTCAATTCCTTGGGGCCGCTGGGGCTTGCTGACCAATGCCTGCCCCATCCAGCCTTCCAGCCAGGTGGGGCTCTCGGGCGGGAGCCACCAGTGTGGCATGGGTGTGTGGAACACACTGCTGCACTTGGACATGCCCTAGGCCCATAGGGAGAGGGAGCGGGAGTGATCCTTCTGATGTTTTTCTGCATCTGAGGTTTAAGCACAAATAAAAACCATGACCCTGGGCCTGAAGCTCCAGCTCCAGCTCCACCTCTGCCTCAGCCCGTCAGGTCTTGATTCTTGCACTTCCTTTCCGTTCATACCTTGTGCAGCTATGCTCAGCGTGGACCTCAGCACATGGGGATGCACTGAGGGTGCGTCCTCGCCCTCTGAGCTCAACCTGGAGCACTGCTTCAGCCCAGGAGGTGCTCGGTGCTGCTCCCTCTGCAGAGACCAAGCTGGCATGGGCTCTGCGGGCAGTGCAGCTGCTGCCAAGAGGACTGCTTGCACTTTCCAAGACAAACTAAATACAAAGCTTTGGCTTGTCAGCTCATCATCAGACTTTGGTTAGCTTTCCCACGCAGTAGGGGGGAGTCATTCTGCTGAGTCCTGGAGGCATTGCTATCATGCCCCCACAATGCGCGGGCACCAGAGGTGACCACAGCACCTCTGCAGCCCTTCCCTGCCCGGGGAAGCCAGTCACCATCCCACCCACACTGAGGTACACAGCAGGGCACAGATTGAATCTCAGCTGCCACAGAGCATAGCTCTTGCACACGCAGCTCGGGAATCAAAAGAATGCAGTGAGTAGCTCTGTGCTCAGCATCTCGGCAGCGCCAGGCACAGCTCATGGTCAGAGGCAGCACTGGTCACCACCCCATCCCTCCCTGCACTGCTGACTCGGTCACTCATAGCCTCACCAGGCCTGGCCCTTGTACTCTGGGCCTCTCCGGCAGCACCTGCCTGTTCTCCTAGGCTCTTCTCCTGGGGTCACAAACTTCCACCCTGTGGCCCTGGCCCCTCTCCTGAGCTGCCAAGAATTAGGCTTAATGTGTTCACTACCGTGCAAGCTTGTCTGCTTGTTCACAGCCCCCCACCCTGACTTATTGCCAGCCTTGGCATCCCGTGTGCTGTGGCGCCCAAGTGCTGGACCCTTGGCATTGCAACACAGGCTGACAGGCACGGCCCCCCTTGCCTCAGCCTGGACCCACCACCTCTGCCCCCACCCTGGAGCCTCCACTCCCGTGTCTAGGCTCCCTAGAGCCCCCCACCTGTGCACCTTTGTCTGCAGCCCAGGACCTCATTGACTAAGACAAGAGTTACAGCACCCCCTCCACCAGATATGCATCCTAAGAGTGCTGGGCCCTTCCTTGAGGCACAGCTCCGTGTACACCAGCACTGAATGAGCCCAACACTTCTTGATCCATGGCTTCAGTATTCCTCTGCATGTCTGTGCGCAGAAGAGACATGAAATCCCACGCCAGTCAGAGCACAAGGAAACCAAGCAACATCCTGCATGGACAAGCACCCTGGAGTCTCGACCTGCCACAATGGTGGGCATGGGTCTCACTGGGGAAGCCAATTGCCACCAGCCCCAGGCCCCAATTTAGAGGGGGCACCAACAGAGCAGACCCCAGGAACCCCTCTCCCAGGACACCCGAACCCAGAGCTATACCTCTGCTACCACTGGCAAGCTGCCGTGCCCAAGTGCACTCTCTCCTAGCACAGCGATGGCTTCCACCTTTCTAGGACTTGTCCACCCAAGGACACGTAGACCAACCCTGTGGCTTTTGTGGGCACCTGCCAAGGCGCAGCTAGGTGACAGCTAAGATGGGATTTCTGGGCCTGCAGCACATGTTGGCCACCTGCTCCCACAGCCCCGGGCGTGCCTGGTATCAAGGTGCGGTGCAAGGGTCCAGCGCACCATGGGCAGGCTCTGCTCTACAGCTGGCCATGATTACTGGAGCTCACTGCTGCCACTGGTGAGCTCCCTCAGTGCTGGGAGCTGGCACCTAACTGCTGATCAGCCTGATGGTTCTCCCACACCTGGCACCCAACCAGCTTCATTCGCTGCAAGTGGAGCATGGGGCCACCACTAGCCACAGAGCAGAGCATGGCTGGACCCACAGAGCAGATCTGAGGGAGATTCCCTGCTCACTGCTGCCAGCAGAACCACTGGGGCATCAGAGCCAGAGCCAGAGCCACTGAGATGGGAAGAACAAAAATGACCAAAAAACCCTCTGGAGGCAAGTCCTGGCCTCCTGTAGCTCTGCAATGAACAGGTGCAGGAGAGACGCACCCAGCCCTGCGCCCAGCAGTTTCCTGGAGAGCACGTTGCAGCCATGGAAAACTCCTGGGGAGACTTGCGGCAGCTTGGAGCACCCCAGACCCTGGCAAAGAAATGCTTGACAACAGGCAGCCAGGGCATGACCCCCACAAAACACACAAACAAGATACACACCTGGCAAAGCTGACCCCCAGGGAGAAGTTCCTGGGGGCAGCAGCCTGCAAAGGCAGCCGGGGCCACAACGCAGCAAGCTGCCCGGCCGGCATGTGTTCTCACCCAGGCCACCCTCACAGCCCCCTCTGCAGCCACAGTGTCAGGGCAGCCCATGCCTCCTTGGGCAGGGCTACGCAGAGCCTCTCCACAACCCTGCCCCAGCACCGGTGGGTGTGCTCCAGCGCTGCCAGCAATGGGCAGTCCTGGCAGCTCTGCTCTCCTGGAGCACAGGCAGTCACCAGTGTTTTACTGCATCCTCTCGGCTTATCCGGCATGGAGGCAATGGGTACAGCACAGCACAGCAGTGCCCTTTCCAGGTCTGTTCCCAAGCCAACACCACTCCCAAGCCCAGCCCAAGGCTTCTGTCCTCGTATGGCAACAGCACCGGGCACCTGTGTCCAAAGCATAAAAACAGGGATGTGGGGTCTGGCACCAGCCCAGGCCCTGGGCTGAGCATGGCCTCAGTCTACAGGCAGTGCCAAGCAGCCCACAAGGGAGTAGCCCCACGTTTGCAAGTGCCCTGGATATGTGGGCCGTGCTTCAGGCTGAACAACCTTTGCCCACTTTTACATGCCTATTCCCCACATGCCGGGAATGACACGCACACTCGGACACAGACATCTACATGTGTGTGCTGCCCTGTGCCCACATCCAGCTCATGAGTGCACACACATCTATGCACCAGTGCAGCTCTCACCTGCGCCTGCGTCCCGCTCGCTCCTGAAACTGGAGTTTCTCCCGCAGGATCTGCAGAGGCATCTCCCAGTCCCAATGCACTTAGCTTGTCTGCACCCACCTCTCTCCTCCACACACTGCAGCTGTATGAGCCAGAGCCCAGGATGGGTCTGGACTTTCCTCCAGCCTGCAAACCCCACCTTCTGGGCCTGGCTGGGAAGGAGGAAAAGAGCCGGTCACTCCCATGGAGCAGGGCTGGCAGTCTCCAGTATGCTTCACCACCCACAGCATGGCACAGGTGTGCTGACTGGGGGCCATGGGGAACCCCGTCCCACTGTGGTGTCCAGCAAGGGCCGAAGGCAGCT